GACGTTCGGCGGCTCTTGTCTTATCCGCCGCGAGCTTCTATATCTGGGCCACGCTCGACGACAAGCGTATCTGCGGCTAAGTCTGGGCGCGATTATATTTGCCTCCGCTCGTCTTTCCCCTTGCTGCCTTCCGATGCGTGGGGCCAAGACGCGGCTGGCCGCTGCGCAGAACACATTCGCCCCGGCCTCTGTCTCTCCCTCCCCGTATGCCCCGCGGCTGCTCAGACTTTATCTACCGCGATGCCCCTTTGGTCCCACGATCACTTTTCCCTGGCGCTGCTTGATCTGGCACTATACGGGATCACTCGAGCAGAAATAGGGGACTCCGGTACAAAGCTACGCCTAGAGTATCTAGGCTCTTCGTTTTCCGATTTTCTTGTGGGCGCCGCCATATTGGTGCTCGGCGCAGAGCGGTCGCAATGGGCGATCGCCACTCAGGCGATATCACTTTGCCCTGTGGTAGAGACTGAAAACCGTTTCCTGCGATTTCGAATAAAAGTTCGGACAAATGGCAAAAAAAAAAAAAAAAAAATTTAAGCACCAAATTGTTACACCGCCAAGTCATAGTCACAAAAAGACACAGAGGGGAAGGAAATTGACGGGGAGTGAAAAAATCGTGCGTTTCGTTTCATGGCTAGGCGGCGCAAGCTACCTCCCGATATAAAGGGTGCAGCCGTTAGCATCCATCCATTGGCCGAAGTTTGGTTGTAGCTTATGTAATGCATCTAGGAGACACTTTTCTCCGTTCATTTGGAGAACAGCCTTGGGACTACCAGATCAATTTTGTCCGACGGTTAAAAGTTCAAAACTAAACTGTCCATTTTTTTTTTTTTTTTTTGCGTTGGTAGAATAGGTTAGCCACGTGCGACTGGGAAGGCACAAAGGGCTTTTGTGATTGAACTATTATCCCTTGGCTCAAGATCCTAAAGCCGGGGATGGTCCCCCGCCTTTTCGGGGCTACAATAAACTCGTTGTTGATAAACAAGCCCATCTGTGCCCTCTCCATTTTGTGTCTGCCCCTTGAGCTGGCCCAGAGGGTACGACATGGACGATATTGGCCTTTGTAGGGGGTGTCAGCTTGCCTTTCTGGATCGCTCCTGTCAATCTGGAGAATGGCTACTGAACGGGGGGAAACGAGCTGTCGAAATAGCCGCGAGAATTAGGATGCAGCATAGTCTGGAAGGGAGAAGCTGCTTTTGTACGAATTTCGAGTGACAGGTTTATCTTCTATAATCATCTAGAGGGAGAATAGGGACGTCTGGGACACACAAAAGAGAGCTTCCGTGAGAGGGGAGTTCTCTTTTTCCTCTTCTCTGGTGGTGGCCCGAGAGCTGACAGGATAAGGTCAGGTGGAAAGCCTGTATTCGCTCTTTCTCGCGTGAGTCGAAACGTGGTGGCGCCAGAGTGCAAATAGCCACCAACAACTTCCGGTTCTGAACTAGACCGGGGTTTTTGTAATATTTGCAATATCAAATATACATGCAATCTTCTGGAAATGGCCACTTATAGCACCCTCCGACTTAACTCCTACGATAAAATAATGATGAGTAAAAAATTGGGAAACATACGTCAACCGGAAGTGTGCCGGGGCTACCCAGTAGATGGCGCCACTGCGTTTTTTGCCAAGAAAAAAATGGACGAGACATACCGCAGGTCAAGTTTGGAAGCCTCACAAAGTACATTTATAACACTGCCCTGTCTGAGAGTGATCCTTTGTTACCGTCTGTACGCCACACGCTAGCCAATAAATGCTGTTAACCCTGGCCAAGCAAGTTACCTAGGTCGCCATGTCCAATTTTCAAACGCTGCCTCCAAGCTACGAAACGAACACTGCTCGAAAAGAGAGGATAGTTGATAGAGCGTTAGCTAAGATACCCCGAGAAGAGAAGGCCGACACCCCGGGAGGGTCTGCCTTTTAGAGACATAAGTTGGATGCAGACGACTCGACTCAACTCAAGACGAGACTCGGTGGGTTTGTCCGATTTTAAAAGAATTAAGTAGCCGGTGCCATGGGCGTACCAACCGGAAGGGGGGTTCAAATGGGGCGGTTGCCCCCCCCCCCCCCCCCCATTCTCAGAGTTGTGCGTGTGTGTGTGTGTGTGTGTGTGGGGGGGGGGGGGGGGGGGGCAAGCATCTAGGCAGGGCAAATACTGGCCGGCGGCGCCCAAGCAGGGGTGGAACTCATGAAATGTACTTGGGAGCAGCCATGGGAGCAGCTGATACAGCTGTTTTGTAGTAGGTTGAGAGCAGCTAAAACTACGTTCTGGAGCAAGCTAGGAGCAGCTCAGATTAGTTTTCATTGCACTTCAGCTTGTGTCTTAGACGAGCACGGGAGCAATTTCAATCGTGCTTAGCAGCACAGATGAACATGAGTGGTTAGGGACCTAGGTAGATGGGAGAACAGTGTAACAGACGAGAAAACTTGAAACTTTGTGAGCCTTAATAAGAATCAAAAAGCAAGTACCCTACGTTCCTGAAGATAGCGTCCTTGATATTTTCTGAGTGGCTTTCAGCTGCTCAAAATGCAAACCAGCACTGCTTATCGCACAACCCACACGTGCTCGACACAGTAACTATATGTGCGAACCACGTGACGTGCGTAAGCAACGGACGTGCAGTTGCACGGAGGAACACGGCAACAAATTTCGAGTTTATCCTATTGTGCAACTCAATATCGAAGCAGCAGACTACGATTAACGGAGTTATCGTATTCGAAGCGATAAGCAGGAGCAAGGTTAATCAATGTACGCCGAGTAGATCTACCACTCGCGTAAGAGCTGCTGGCCGGCAAGGTTTCGGATCGGACCGCGTTTCAGTTCTATCAAATCACGATTTATCTTGCAAGAATGCGGTTCCAACCTTTAACGATGAAGTACTAAAGGGAATCGTTTGCTGATGTGTTACTGGCTGACGTCCGGAACCCAGGCTGCAGAGCCTCAGGCAATCTGAGGCTTAACGACTCGAGCTTACCTACCTCAGCCGACTTGTTAACCGCTAATGGTTGAAGAATAACAATCCAGTCGCAGGTGGTGTAGCGTTTAGAATCAGAGTTCTTTTCGCGCGCTTCCGACTCGGGATACACAGGGAGAATAAACAGAACAAAGGATTGCAAGGCCGACCAGGCTAAACGCGCTCCATTGTTGCTAATCGAGTCAATAAAACCGAAACCAAGACAAAATAAAACATTTTTTGGTGCACGTTTTGCGATTTGGCGCATAATGGTGCGAAGTATTGGCTGTGGCGCAGTTTCTGCAACATGGCGCAGGATGGCGTAGACACATGCGTCTGGCGCAAAATGGCGCAAATGGTGCAGCCGTTCCACCCCTGCGCCCAAGGGATACCATGGGCACCGCTTCCCGGCCCTGAGGAGGAGGGGGTCTGGGGTCCAGTTTGCCTTGCCTTGCCCCCCCCCCCCCCCCTCAAAATCAAGTTGGTACGCCACTGGCCGGTGCGCAGGATGCTTAACTCTGGTTAATCCGAACGGCAACGTTTCAGTCGGTAGAAACATAGTGTCTGTGACCAAGACACCAAGAGCTCCAACGTTTTGACATATGCCGGTCCGTCGTGCCGTACTTGGCCGCACCTGCGCTGCGCACTCGTGCGTGAGAGAAGCGAAACGGGCACACGCGTCGGCTCGGCAACGGGGATGTTCGAGTTGAGAACCCTTCCCGACAGCCGACGCACGCAATGAGCGACGGCGTAAAAGCTGGGCGGATCGCACAATGCGCTGGCTGCGCAAGGCTCGCATCAGATTCCTCCATCCAACGATCTCTGGCAGCCACGCGTTCGGAGGGCCAGGAAATAAACCTCCCACCCGACAAGCTATCGGCGCTTCCACTCTCCCGGCCTGGTGGAAGGTGTCCAAAGGCAACACCAAAGGACGCAGAGCGTGCGCGGAAGCAGACCAGCAAAACGCGGGCCAATAGTGCAACAAAACAAAAAAGAGAGGGGGCGGGGGGGGGGGGGGGGGGGGGGGTGCAGAAACCCCGAGAAACAACGCGACTGTGGCGGAGCAGATACCGCGCGTCTATCAGCTGACTGACATACAACCGACTCCTTTTGTAAGGAGGTCGCTTATAATGCGTCTTCTTAGTGTAGTTCGTGTGCTAGCAACTAATTCAGCTCAAGTACGAATAATAATAATAATAATAATAATAAACATCGCCAAAGCTGCAGCTTGCAACCAAACGAAGGGTCAATCCCAGCTTTGCGTGCACACACATCTTTAAAGCCCAGTCCTGTCAAAAAAAAAAAAAAAAGAAGATACAAAACATCAGTTAGTTTACACTAAGTTCACCGCATTACAAGTGAACAGCGGTTGTACCCCAATCCACGCGAAGCTGCTTTCCCGTAAAGAAACGAAGGCAGGGACGTTGAGACTGTACAAAGTCGACGCAGGAGCCACGGCCCACGGTCGCTACGTCCCCCAGTCAGCAGCGCGCACGCATGATCGGGCATGTCAGTGCTTGCCAAACCCGAGAAGCGATGCAGGAAAGGCACAGAGCGATCGAGCGACAGCGGTTTGTCACGACCCTGAGCTGCGTTTCGGAAGCGTCGTTTTCGTGCCTTTGTTATCGAGGGCTCCGCTCTCCCAGCGCATACGCAGCGGCGGTTTAATATGCGTTCGGGAAGACGAAAAACAAAAAGAAATCAAATAAAAACAAGAGGCCCCCGGAGGAGAACTCCGTCGTTCTAAGCGCCTACGACGCGCGTATGAGCGACGAGAAATCGGGCATCATATTGCCGTCATACGCAGAGGCCAGTGTTTCATAAACAATGACGACACGCACACCAGTTATTGTGAGACGAAAAGCTCCTCTCCATAGACAGGTTCGACCGTTGAGCTGAAGCGGAAGAGCTATAAACAAACAATGATGCGCTCGTGTTTGGGGTCGAGATGCGTCTATTTCGTGCAACTTTAGTACGTAAACAGAAGAGGCTGCGACAAAACTAAGTCGATAAAAGAGCAAGTGTAGTTGGTAGTGTCACGCATGGCTCACCGATTTGTAGCGGCCCTTGTAGACGACGGCAAAGGCGCCGTGGCCGATCAAATCCTTGGTGTTGTACTCGAAGTCTCCGACGGTCTCCATTTCGGATGGTTGGGATGTGCCCACCAAATCTTCCGAGTAGCTTCAGGCGCCGGCCACTTGGCTCCCCGCGGTCAAAGGAGTGGGCCTTTGTCCGACGCTGTCGCCTTTGTTAGGCTTAGAAGAGCATCCAACAGACGCGCCTCCGCTGGCCATCGCTCACGGAGAGACCGGAAGGGTCGCTCGGTGCTACACAGGCACCATAGTGACACAGAGTTCGAAGAAAGAAGCGGGGATTGGCGCCGACGACGACGTGCAGTGATGAGGCGACTCACAAACACAGCTCGACGTTTCCATTCATTAGCCGAGCGCTGCAGCGGTTCCGCGGTAGGTGTGGATCAAACGAGGGGCTCTTGAAGACCACAGAGTTGAAGAAACACCCGCCGGAGAGCTGGGTGTAACGCGGTGGACGCGGTTTACGCGCGATACTTCGTAGGAGAAGCCATGTTCACATCGCGAAACGCAGACGGCTAGGAGCACACTCTTTCATCCATTTGCAAAGCCTTCGTGCGCTTTTCTTGTAGGGAAGCCGCGGCACTCGTGTTGGTCCGCGCGCGCCGCGCAAAAAAGAGTGCGGCATCTGTTTTGTAATAATAAAAATACAAAACCACTTATACAATTATAATTTGCTTAAAAGGCTTATTCCTATAGCTTAAAACATCTCTTTATAAATAATTTGACTATTTCTTTATTTTGAAAATTTAATAGCGAATGGAGTCATCATTGAACTTGTCGTAATTCAGTGATTTTATAAATGCATGGCTAATTTATTATAATTAAACTACCTAATTAGACAATTAAACATTATAAAATTACACTTTTGTGCAGGTTTGAGAACAAATAGAACCCCAAAACACGAATTCGTCTGCAAAGAACTGGGGTCGCGTATTCCTCCGCCGAAACAGATGTTTCCGTCCTCCCGTTGGCTGCGAGACTCGACGAGACGAAACATTTGCTCATGGCGACAGAGTTGCTAGCCACGTGGGGAAAGTTCCTGAAGCTGTGCAGCGTGTTTAGGGTCCGGTAAGCGACCGAAGTTTGCCGAACCAGCCTTCGTTCCGGGCAGCATCGTCGATCAGCGGCTAGCATTTCACGTCGCTTTGGTAAGCTAACCCAATGACAATGTTCGCGACTCGTCGGGCGCTCTTAAAAGACCACCATATTGTGTTTTGGTCTGCCTAGGCCTGACCGCAGCGGGGGCCGTTCGGTCCTGCTCGGCGGCGCTACAATACCGGAAACTTGCTGCCGCTCCGCTGGCATTTGAGACAAAGAACCACGCTCGGCGGACTAGGGTCTCGCATTTTTGTCACACGCAAGCAGCTTCATCCAGCGCGCTTCGCTGCGTCACGTTTGTTGACAGTGCGTACCGCAAAGGCGGCGTGCTGTTCGCGATCTGCTTTCCGAAGGTGCACACCGGCAGGCTGCGAAGTGTCTCCAGGCTCATTTTATTTGAGACGGAAAATCCGCATCTCGCGCTTGTCGCACTTTGTCGGAAGTTTGCAGTTGGACGTTGTACCGAAACGCTCGCGATCGGCCGAGCGCTGCATACATAGAGCCACAGGTTGCCGGATGCGTCCGAAGTGGATTCTTCCATCGTGCTTTTTATCTTTAGCCGGCTTCCTCTCATCGGTGAACCTGCCCGAAAGTGTTCCCAGTGCGGCGATTACGACGAGAGCCGCGGCGGACCTGTTCCTTTCTTTTTTTCTCCTACTTTCGTCGTGTTGTCGGTTTTGAATTTTGCTCTTCTTTCCCTGACCACGCTCGGCGATTGCTAAAAATAGCAGAGCCGTCGCCGCTTTACCCGTCTTCCCCCTTCGCCCGCTACAACCGAACTCTTGGGCCACGAGTAGAAAAAAAAAAAAAAAAAATAGTAGCCAACATCGGGCGACGACATCGGCTGTGACCAGCACCGGACCTGGGCGCCTTGCTCGAGTACGAGGAAGGGGAGCTGATTAGACCGAAACTCCCGGTTGCGGCCTTGGGCTTTTTTGCGCGTAACTTTAGTCGCGCGCCGATCGCTGCCGTTGCTGCTGCTGTCTCTACGTGCCCGGTGTGTCAACACCACCTGTCCGTCGTGGGAACCCGTTTACACCGCCTACGGGGGCAAACGAACACCCGAACCATTTTTTTTTTTCTTTTGGTGCTGGTCATTATACCCCGAGTCGAACGTCGCCATACCATAGGCGCGCAGTTGGCATACGTTATCAGTACGTCTGACGCATCCTTTTTTTTTTCCCCCTTTTTGCAGAAGGCGGTGTAGTGCGGGGAGATGTGCTTTCGTAAAACATTTTAGGAATGAGTTCGCGTCGTCTGTATTTTAATTTTTTTAAGCGTGACAAGAAAAAAAAAAGCGGCGCCTATCCGCAAGATGAATTAGTAAAAAGGAATGCGAATCACCGGACCCAATCAGATTCTCCGCCAAGCAAGCAAAAGAACAAAAGGGCCAGTAGAGAAAGAACGACACAGCTCGGAGACTTCTCATTACGTCGCCAAATTGGTGCGGCGCGGCTCTCCGCTGGAGCCCTCGTTCCGTGCTGCTGGACAGAGAGCGAGCGTCTTCGAGTTTCTTTATATATATATGTATATATATATTTTTTTTTTTTTTTTGCGTGTTCGCCTGGAAGCACGGTGGTCTACGTACCGAGTTCTCTGGAAGCTCCTCTGACTTCACGGCGGTCGGATCAATCGCCCGACTAAGCTGCGGGGATTTGGGCCCTGTCAACCACGCAAGCGGCTGGGATGGGGGTAGGTAGCCTTGGCTTGTGCCCCGAACATGCAGTGCGGCGAGCTGATCTTCGAGGCAACTTTGGGTCCTTGTCTGCCTCTTACATCGACTCTCTTGTGTGTGAATTCTTCGCATGAGGGATAGTTCGAGAAAAAAATGGATTTGAACTTCTACATTGGTTGTGCTCGCGTGTAGTTTGAGCCATCTGGAAAACTGATCTTGGAAGGCACCCTTAATTTGTGTATTTAATGCACATTCGGAGCTTTCTGTAGTATGTACATATTATAGTGGTGTCTCGCATTGTGAGATGGCCTATATGTAGGCCTGAAAAAACTGGTCGTTTGTGATTTCCGAGTTTGATTAGATGCATTCCGTAATGCCCGTATGAATGTTTAGACAGTGGGAAGTTCGTTAACCTAGAAATATGATAATTCGTAACACCTTTGTAGATGGGCCATGTGGCCAGAGCATTACAACGATTAACCCCGCTACTGCCCGTTTTAATCTGGGCGAGCATCGTACCGGTGACCGTTTTTTCGTGTATCACCCCTGCATGTCATGTTACAGGACCTCGGGCTAGTCATCATACCGCACTAGCTTAATTTGCGGTCGTCAGCATAAGTCAATATTGCTGTACCTCAGAGGCAAACCAACCTTACGCTGTCGAAACATGAATTTCTAAATTGCTTCTGTCTCTTTTTTTTTTTTTTTTAAGCCATATTTGCGAATTTGTTTAAACAAGCAGCAGGAAAATTTAACTTGCATAGTCCGAATGTGCAGCTCTTGCATTCCGTTTCTCGTGTTGCTTGGAAATGACTCTGTTATTATATTTCTGTAGCCTCAGACTCGCAAGGTTGTGCTTTTGCTTCAGCACAATTGGATGTTTCCTGTTAAATACAGTCCACTTGTTATACACTGCATGCTACTACCTAGGTATGAATCTGACTTAAATATAGCAGCGAGCCTTCTGGTCCCCGTACACTTGCTTAGCGAGTCTAAACGCAGCCCTTTCTATGTAAACATTGCTTCTGGGTCAACAAATATAGTTGCTTCACAACATTGAGGATGGTGGTTTGAGGTACATTTTGCGGAATTGCCATTGGACGTGGACATTATTGTTGCCTGCACCTCTGCTCGGCTTGCTATTCGTAGATGCACCACTCGCCCTTTGCCCCACAAAGATTGCTTCTGCAAACTGCCCAGATCAGGTCTCGTAGCTGGGTGACGCCATTACATCATTCATTCAATGGCGGCCCTCTCGTAAGCGGAGAGACTGGAGATACGTAATCTATGCCATGCCGTTGCCCAAGCAACCAAGCATATCAAGTCTCCCTTAACTTCTCTCATTTCCTTGTCCTATGGAAGCCAGATTAGGCTCCTATCACGTGGAACCCTTGATAGCAACGAATACATGGATTCTACTGGTTGGGGTGCAGATGGCACGTTACAATTGTATACGATAAACTGGAGGTCATGCTGCATGCCAAGAAATGGAAAATCGCATTGGGTTGCCCAATTTCTCAGCCAAGGCACTTGTTGCGTCAGGGGCAGGTTTTCCATGACTTTCCTTGGCACGTTTCTTGTTGCCACAGTTCTTGTAGAGAGCGTGTGGTGCATAGTGTATTGCCTGCAGATGAGGGGCATCGAAACTGTGCGGTCGACACTTTTTCTGGCATTGTACCAGGAGTTTGGAATGCTTCGCAAGCTCGGTTGGAAAGGGGTGATAAAAGGGTGCTATTTGTTAGGGTTAGTTACAGTTAAAATTTTGTGAACTGTGTAGTCTGCTGACTGTACATGTTTAAAAGATTGCATTTTATGCAGTAGGACCTATCTACCAATATAAACTATAAATTTTATTTTTTTGAGGTCTTTGTGTATTGCTTGACAGGCCCTGCACACTTTTTGAGATCATACCGTGTTCTGCAGGGCAATATCAAGTTGAACTGTAACTCCACTGCCATTGCTCTCACAGCATACCTTCTGCGGGTGATGCGGAAAGTATGCCTAGACCCAAGTGAAGAATGTGGGCCAAGTTTGATTTTGATGGGAAACTTCGTGATTGGGCAACTAACGGGGTACGAACACCATGTAGCTACGGTTGTGGGAATGCAGCTAGACACAAATAAGGGATTGTTAAAGTCCTCTACGAACTGCAGCCCACAATGCCTCCGAAACGAAGAGTGTTCGCAGCATTCATCAAATTGAGAGTGGAAAAGCTGAAGGTACCTATAGCTCCCAAGGAATTAAATATTAATGAGAGGAGTATGACAATATTAAACATCTGCAGAACCACTTCTGAGAGAAAAAGGCTGGCACAAATAAGGTAAAACAAGGTACCAGATTGGCCAAAGCTTGAAGAAAGAGATGCAGCGTGGGTTTGCCTACAGTTGGAAACAGGATGCCCGTAATGTGCAGACTGAGCACAGGATGCAAACTATCTAAGGATTTTTTTTGTGCATTGTACAGTGTGTTACCCAATACTTCAGAGAATTTTCTTGCAAAGACACAAATACTAAGTCCTAATTTCCACCGTTACCTTCAAAGTAGTCTTGGGCACATTGCAACGATTCCAGCAATGGACCTTTTTCGAGTAACGAGCGCCGTCTGGGGAGCTGTCAGCCAAGTAAAATAGAAGAGCAGCCCAACATGCCTTCGCCCTTCAGAACACATTGGAATCGTGACATTGTACTGGTTTTCAGTGCTTTTTGCACCTTATACTACTCGTACTAAAAAACAAAGCGTCAAAATAGCCTAAATACGCGCGAAGATAGATGCTGACAATGTTGCTGTCGCCATCTCCGCAGGGCACTGCGTCCCGGTGTTCTGCGAAAATGGCGACAGCGGGAGGGACGCATGCGCAGAAGCTTACTGGAAAATGGTCCATTTCTTCCATTATTGTAAGCGCTCACTAAAGTCTGCCTGCTGTGGCATCTTCAACACCTGCTGTGATCCCACTTGGATCCCTTCAGTGGAGTTAAATTGCCGCCCTTTCAACCGGAATTTCATTTTTGGGAACTCCGGTAGAAAGTAGAGAGTGAGTGCGGGTCAGGTTAGGCGAGTAGGCAGTGTGGGAGTCAATGGTCATCTCGTCTTTTTGTCAGGGGTGTGGAGGCACATTGGTCATGGTGCAGCAACTCCTTTTTTTTATTGCATGTTTCAGGCCGTTCCAGCCTCAGAATAGCCCTCAGTCGTCTCGAAACATTTAGGTAAAAACTTTCTGTTGAGGGTCTGACCAAAATGGAGACACTACTTATGTGCAGTTCTCAAATGTGGAAAGAAATTACCAGCATTGATATGTTTCTAGTTTACTTTCTAAATGCTTAAACCACTCGAATGTTCTTGCTTAACACGCCCACCCAAAAGCTTCCTTTATGTAAC